CAAACGGTGGATACAATTCAAGAGAATACCAAAATAGAACAGCGATGCAAATTAAATTTGTATGCAGCGACACCATGGAGCATTTGCCATGCTCTTCATTTTTTTCTCAATAAATAATTTTGAGTAAGCATTGCTGGAGTTTCACTGGAATACTTTTCTAATTTGAAATAATTCAAGGATTACCTCTGATATTTGGTAGCTTCGTTATTTAACACACTACTTCATAACCCCCTTCTGCTACATGCACAGACACATTCACATATACCTCCTCTTCTGTAGAGCCGTCAGAAGATTAAAAAAAAAAAAACTCAAGGGTGTTTGGATTACTTAGAAAAACAGAAAAAAATGTTAGGATCTTAGCCCAAACCAGATAGGTATATCTGTATTCACAAACTACCCTCTTATCCACCATATTAGCACAGAGTCCTAATTGCTCACTACTTTCTCTGTTAAGGTATTTTGACTCTACTGACAAACGTTAAGGCGTTATTTAATGTTTACTTTGGATTAGAGGACCACAATACACTTTTCACTAAGTTCTTAAAAATATTATTGTTATATTTATCAAAATATTGATTAAAATATCTTCTTAAATATTGACTAAAATATAGAAAATATATATTTACTAAAATTTTATATTTATAAATACTAAAATTGTATATTTTGTCTGCTGAATTTTTGCTTTATTAAATTTGGATTCATTATCTCAAATGTTTAAATATACCAATCTACACTGACCTCTTAAATAAACATTATTTAAAATAAAATTGTTGTATCATACCATGAAGTATGATAAAGCCATTATTCCATCAATATCCTTATAGTAATTGTTCTTATATAATATAATATAATATCCTAACTGGAGCCCAGTAAGACATCTTTCTAATTTCTGCTTTCCTAAAACGTGGTGAACATCTCTAAGAAGAGATACTTGTGCCAAAAGGCACACAGAGCCTCACACAGAGCCTTTTGGCTACATCACCCACAGAGGCTTTATATGGTCACTACATGGTGATTGCCTTCATTAGCTAGTTTAAACATTAACAAAATCATGAGTAGATTATATTCAGAAAGAAATGTCCTTTCACTTTATTCAAGTACAGATGTCAAAAGCAGTTTTAAATATCTATTTTTGGATTTAAATGCTAGCTGTTCATTCTTTTCCCTGCACAAAAGTAAAATAAATTAATTTGCATTCTTATACTGTAGGCACAGCTGGCTGGAACATTCTATGAGGAAGGTGATGAGACTTATTTGGAATGTCAGAGCAAAGTCCAGAATAAAAGCTACTAAGGTTGAGTAGGGAAATGCTGTGCAATGGTTCTCTCCTTGGCTGAATTTACCAGATCTCATAATCAGTGCAAATCTGTGACAGTTGGGAGTTTTAAAATTAATGATTAAAACAAGTATTATAATAGCATGAGTTAGTATTAATTATTAAACTGTTATTCATTAGATGCCTACTATTTATTCTGCGTATTCCTAATAGCAGTCTCATGTAGTATCCTTATTTCCTCCATAAGGAAGGTGAGGATCAGCTAAGTAGAGTGACTTTCCCAATGTCACTCAGGTAATCGGTGATTTGAGAGACCAGCAAGAATTGGTGTATGATGCTGTCACAAAGAATACTGTGTAGGTTTTTCTTTTTTTTTTAAGATCTTAAAAGGATATGCTAGCATGGCTTAGTAAACACTTTGTGTACCTCTGTAAAGTTGCCCATGAAAGTTGATGAGAGAGTTCTATGTCCTCTAATTCCTTGTGGATCCCACTAAGGCTGAGTCCTTTTAAAGTAACACATACCTGGAAAACTAGGCAAATATTACAGTGTCCCTTTCCCAACCTGCACTGAAAGTTTCAGAGAAAGATATAGACAAGCTATACATATGGATATGTGTATATACATGCTATGTAGGCAACACATGGTGAGTTGCCTCTGAGCACACAGATAACAGGAACATGTCCATAAATGATAGCTCTAAGACACAGGGTTAGAAGCACCCAGGGAGTTTGGCTGACAATTTTGACAGTTCAGTTTCACGGCCTGCATAGTGATTAATATTATCAGGCCATGATAATATTATCGGTTCTGCAGCATCTTTGTCCCTCTAAATTTAAGAAAAATTATGAAGTTAGCATAATTCGTACTAACCCTTTAGAATCCTCAGTAGTATATTTCAAGGCTTGCTTTAAATAGAATTTCTTTAAGATCTTATAGAAGTAAATATGTAATCTTGGCAGCACCTCTCACTAATGCAATTTTATAGTCCTATACCCATTTATTTAAATTGAGGCTGAGAATTCCTAATTTGAAAAGCTCCAAAATCTGAAACTTTTTGAGTGTCAACATGGTGCTTACAGGAACATTTCAGATTCTGATTAGCAATGATCAACTGGGAAAGATGATAATATACTATTTATACTGTAAATGTTCCAAAACCTGAAAGAAAATTTCAAATCCAAAATACTTTTGGTTTCAAGCACATCAGATAAGAGATACCCAACCTGTATACCTATCTTCCTCATCTTAATAAAAAAGGCCAAGGATATGTCTATTGTTCACCATTATAACTTCAGAGCTCATTGCAATAAATAGTAAATAATTAGTGTTTGATAAATATTTCATGAATGAGTAAATTCTTGAGTGAATGAAAGAATGAACAATGAGTTTAATCCTATTGTTTCCCCACTTCAAGTTGATCAGAATTAAGTTAAGCTATATTCTCTTGAACTGAACCAATGTACTTATTGTTGATACATTGTTAAGGTGTTAATAATTAGGCAATGTCACATTTGAGAGAAGAAGGGAAATGGAAAAAGAAGAGAGAGAGGGAAGATGAGAGTGGAGAGAGACACACAGAGAGAGAGAATTAGAAAGAGACAGGTAGACAGAGAGAGACAGAGGGAGAATAAGAATGAATAAATGTCTAGGGTTTGCTTAAAGGAAAGAAATGAATGAATAAGGTAGAATGTCAGGTATCAACTGGGAACTGGTAATTTAAGATATAGAAACCCAAATTCATTTCAATATGCTCAGTTAGTAAACAAGCTATTTATAATAACATAGTCTGGATATCATGCACATCATTAATGTAATACCATATTCAATTCTCTATAACAAATATTTGCTTTCTGTCTGTCTAAATATGAATAAGCCCCAATTTCCCATAAGCCCGGGTTATTTTCTTGCTTTTTAAATAAGGAGGCTTTAGAATGGGGTTCTGTTAATCTGGTGTATCTTTACTAAGGTCAGTCAACTATTTCTCATATCAACACAGAGCCACTGTGCCACTAAGTGGCTGAATGAGCCTGGACAAATCACATGACCTCACTTAGTTTGATTCCTTAGTTGTAAAGACAGGAATAGTAATATCTACCTTATTTAATAAAGGAACTGAAATTGAAGTGAGATATGTAAAGCCTAATGAATTATCAAGTTAATTTTTAGATATTCATGCCAAATTATAATTTAACAACATGAAATACTTTGGTGTCACCTGTGTCATTAGGCATCTGTTCTTCAGAAAAAAAAGACCATGTTTTCTTATATGAGAGGGTTGTGGAAGGCTCAAACGAATAATGTCCGTGAAAGTACGTCATCTACCTACAACTATGGCTATTTATAATCCCAATAACATTTTAAATTAAAAAAATAATCTTGTGCTCTCTTTGATAGTACATATACCAAGACTGAAACAAAGAATGTTCTTACCACAAAAAGTCATGATTGATACACAGCAACATACTTATTTCAAAATATTCTTACGTCAACAATTTCAAATTATAAAATAATTTGGAATTTGGAGGATATATTTAATTGCTTTCTAAATTGTATCATAAGTTATAAAAATATAATACAAAACACTACCCTAAAAATATTTACATAAAATATTCACTGAAATTCTATACACTGACTTTATTAACTAATTCTGTATGGCCAAGTTCTAATTTGAAAATAATGTAGATTTGGAATACAAATATGCTATCAGGTTTTTTCAAAAACACATACTAATTTAATTATCCCTGGAAGCTATGTTTTGAAATAGGCAAAAATACCCACAATGTGTCATAAATGCCACATTACTGCTCAGAGCAGTGATTTAGTCACACTGCTTGACACAGTTAAAACTCCTCACAAAGTCAGAGAATATCCTCACAGCAGTCCAGTTAATTATTATCTAGAATACTAGATATAAAATTGGCAGCTTGCAATTATTTGGTTGGATAAAGTATGAAAACCTTGCAAAGAAGTGACAGAGAAAGAGATTGAAAATGTTCTTCTTCCACCTCAAACCACTTCCCTGTGTGGTCTCTGTAATGAAGATGGGTTACAAAATCACCACTTTGGCCCACCCAGCAGGGGAGGTGAATGAATCATCAACATGGAAGCTAAAACCATGGCCTAAAAAAGCAACCATATTGCAAAACAGGTCAGCACAGTAAGCAGAACACACACACACCAATTTTTCTCATCATATGGCCTTCAGCAAAAAATATAAACTTTAAACACTGAAAATAGTCCCTTGAAACAAACAAACCAAAATTCTATTAAGCCACACTCTATGAATGTTTTAACTAATCTAGAAGACCACATTTATTTTGCAATTACAAAGAGAGAAAGTTTATGAGAGGCAAAGACAGGGTATTTTGTGACACTTTGCAACCTTCACCTATGTCCCCAAACCTGTTACTATTTGCACCAATTTCATATTTTATATATCTCAAATAGGCCTTGTTCTCCTTCCAGGATCTTAGCATATTCCTTTTATTGCTGAATTAATTTTCCCCTAAATAGCTCTCCCAAAGATTTGAGTTGAAACTAGGAGGGAGGGAGCATTATTGAGGGAAGATGTTATCAGTGTCTTCATTCACCAAATTCAAAGTGCTGGGGGAACCTTTGTAGGATTTTTGTTCTGGACATGAGCCAGGAGAGGAGGCCTCTGCGTCAGAAAAACCTTAAAGCAAAGTTCAATCTAGCTGGATTCTCAGAAAGAAAGACTTACAGCTTTCAATTTCCAAGGTGCAGTTTTGTTCATCCAGTGGGTACCGCCTTAGGTCCATCATGCAGGCAGCCGTGGTTGTGATTCTAGAATAAAAACAGCAATGATTGGTGTTGTTAGCAGGTCAAGGGATAGAGTTAGAAATTTATATCCAAGTTCCAAAGAGTACACTTTGATTTAGCTGGAGCTCTAATGAAAATGGTTGATGTAACTTTGGATAACCATTTTCCTTTATGATCCTCATTCTGATTTGTAAAATAAAAGACTGGACTGAATCAGTATTTCACAAGGTGTGGTCCATTAATTTCTTGTGCCAAAATCATTTGAGCATGGGCAGGGAGTAGAAAGCAGTTCCCATCCTTCCAGAATATCCTGAAGTGAGGCGGGGTGGCCCCAGGACTCTATTTTACAGGCAACACTGGTTACTGAGAATATGGACAAAGAATATGCCTCCTCTCACATTCATTTTCTTTTCCTTTTTTCAAAACTCTAAAACCTAATATTTTCTCAATCTTAGCTCTGATCCATCATGTTTCATCTTTTTGTACATAGTACAGTACTTTACATGTGGCTTAATGCAACATACAACCAGCCTTTTATCTTTACCAGTCTTTTATCTGTCACTTGATTTGTTCTATCATGAATAATCTGATATTCTCATGACCCCTTAGAGAGTGTTCCCTATAAAGTGGCAGACTAACTTATTTAGAACATTTTGCACTTTTATTATTCTATCAGGAAAAGTAAATATGTTCCTTCTCCCTATTGAAGACTTTCTAGGTGCCAAAAAAAACCCCCACTTTTAAAGGATTTATCAATATATGTTTTCTGATTAATAAGATAGCACAGGATCAAGAAAAAAAACAAGTTTTAAAACATAACCAATGTATGTATGAATTATAATTTTTTGTAAAAATCTCACAGAGTACCTGGAACATAGTAGACCCTTTTAAATTTACAGCTTCTGAAAGAAACTAAGAGTAAAAATTAATGTTGAACTTGACTAATTGAGGTTTATTCTACTGTGAGAGATGCTATATTGTGTGTTGGGAACAGAAAAATAAGAGGTAGCTCTAGCTTGGGAGAACCCATCTACAGCTAGACCTTTTTTTATTTAAAAAGCTTTGGACAAAACTTAAACCATTAATTCAGGTGGGCTGAGTCTATAAAATTCCTCAGTTAGGTGTGAGTGTCTTACCTGTCATTGTAGAATGGGAATATATGATTAATTGATATAAATACTTCTTATCTCTCCAGTTTGATTCCTGTTTAGTTATTATTACTATTTTTTACTGCATCAATGCTGCATCAATCCCTCACTATCTCCACTGTCTCCCTCCAAGTCCCCATTGCCTCATGTCCAGTGGTGGTGGCAGTAGCTTAATCTCCCAGTCTCTGCATTTGCCTCTCAGCTACACAACAGTCAGACAGATCTTTTACCAACATAAATTAGATTTTAGCACTCCTCTGCTTAAAATTATGAGTGGATTTTCTAAGATAAGCCAAATTCCTGGTTTTGGCTTACTATTCCTTGAATATTCTGTTCCTTTTCTTCCTTCCCAGTATCATCTCACACCAAGCCCTCACTCAGTATCTTTCAGTCCTCTGATGTGTCCCCTCTCCCTAGAACACGTGTCTCCCTGATCTTCACAGAGGCCTCTCTTCTGATCTCTCAGTTGAAAAATTACCTTTTCTGAGAGTTCCTTCCCAGGCAGCCGAACCAAAGTGATTGCCTGAACAAACGTTCCATCTTATCTTTCTGTTTACTTCTTTCAAGCAATTATCACAGTCTGAAATTACCTTGTTTATTTTTTAATAACATTTCTTCTAATAAAATCTAAATTGTTTAAAGACATAGACTCTATTTGTTCTACTTACTGTCAAAGTACTCAATAATAAATATCTGTTAAAGGAATAAATACATGAATTTATAAAGAGGCAAGCAGTTGGTTTTTCTCATTATAAGACTTTATACTTGGAACATTATTTATCTTCTTTTTAACTTAAAATTATAATGCGTCTTAGGTTATAGAGGTTCCTTTTACATTTTTAACAATGGATGAATTTTAATCCATTTAATTAATATTATATAAATAGTACCAGAATTTATCTTATTATCAAATTAAATGCTGCTGCTGTTGAAATTCACCAAATTCCTATATTCTACAAATTCTATTAAAATTCACACTCACATCCCATTGTTTACTCAGGGATGACAAAATGACAATTTGTTTTGGCTCTGCGACAACTGGGTGAATTTCTCACTGGTCTACTGTTGTTTTTTTCTGTGTTGATTGGTTTTACATGTAGATACAATCTGAATTGACATTAACAGAGATCTTTACTATATAGAACAAAAATTTTCCATAAAAATAAAATTAGGTATCTGATGAATGTACCAAACACCAATACTATTTATATAAAATGACAGAAATAATCCGTGTCTTGAGCAACTAGCAAAACATTAATTTAATGGACTGAAAATAAAAGACATGAAATTTACAAGGGCACACATACAATAAAAAAGGAGACAGCCCAGTACAGAAAGCCTGGCTGTGTAAATGCAAGAGGTTTACAATTGGTGCTATGGACTGTGGCTCACACTTTCTGCTGACGCATATTCATGGCAACCAATATTCATGGCATCCATGAACTAGAGCTGCAAACATCAAGATAAATACATTGATTAATGCTGTCACAGGAGCAATGAATTCTACTTACGTTTTTAAAAAATTAGAAAAAAAGTGTTTTTCTCACAACAACATTTTTATTTAGACCAGCATTTTACTTTTTTGTTTGTTTGTTGTAAACAGTGGTACAATATACTTCATAAAGCTAAAAGACGTTTTCTAGTCAATATTTACAAAGCGTTTGTGTCTCCCATTGGATTAAAACAGAAACCTTGGAGCCAAAATAATCCATTTGGAATCCTGATCATATAAACAAAGATGAGTAATCTCAGACAAGTCACTTGTATTCTGACACTTGGTTGGCTCATCTTGAAATTTTCAATTAAAGACTTGCCATCCTAGTTCATTGTGAGATAACAAATGTAGAAAGAGGTCTATAACTCATAAAATGTTCTGCAATGTTTGGTATAGTTATTGCTAACTGCTAATAAGTAGATACAGTGATAACTTAATTTACCAGAGGTTATTTGATAGAATGAGTATGTGTTTGTATATATGAAGACATGTTATACACTTACATTATAAGCAATGCAGAGATATCAGAATGAATGTCAGTAGCTTCTCAATACACAAATATGCAAAATTACTCCACATATACATGTGGAAATCTATAAAACAAAATACAGATAAATAACAAAACCGCACCCTTTCCAGGTGCTTTTTGAGATCAGGAACCACATCTGTTTTTATCATATTTATATCTCAAGCCTGTTACTAAGTATCTGTCACATTTCACCAATGCAGAATTAAAATAGCAACAATAATAACAATAAATAAAACAAAAAATGGGAACCATGATCATAACATTCTCAAAACGAGGATTTTGATGTAATTTTCTATACTAAGTGCCTGATTTAACCCACGTAAAAATTCTCAAATACATTTGGAAGTAAAAATCATTCTTAGAGAAGAAATTACCCTGGAATGACTCTTATTCATAAATGCCTGGAGATAAACATCTAAATCTGTTCTTTGAGACCTTTTGATTTATAACAAGGCTGAGTTTATACAGGAAGAAGTCAATACAATAAACACACTTAATAGGTTTTTCATGAACATGCCTTTCTAAATCATGATAAACACTTTTAATGGGCTTTAAATAACTCAGCACCACTACTAGGAGTCTTTGAAGTGAGGCTAGTAACCCATTACGCAGGAATCCTGATTAAATTTTAAGACCACAGTGAAATATATGGTGACAGCTCTGTCTTCAATCAAATGAAACAGTCAATGATGTCTCCAGAATGTGCCTTATTTATCTGTGGGAAATTTTCTATAATTAAAAGTAGAAATGTGTCTTCTATGGGGCTGAATTCTATTGCATGATGAAGGCCACCTTTGAGAATTGCCCATATTTTGATTGGGCTAAGGATCTTGGATAAACTTTTTATTACTTAGCCATTGGGTACTGTCATCCAAAAATGACTTGTATCATAAAATATTAACATAGAACAAGAAATCTAAATACACAACATAGCCTAAATAGTCATTAAAGGCATCTATAAAATAAAAAAATACAACAGCAAAGCCAGCATTTTTTACCAAAGCCATAATAGATATTTTGTAGTGTCATTACCTAAGATTTAATGATACCACTATATAATTTCAGGTTTGGATATGACCTTTGGATACAAGTTTGAATATGATCAAAGATAGCTATCAGATAAAGATAGATGCTTTTGTCCCTCAGTCAATATGAATAAACTCAAAATCATAATCAAGGTGATAAAGCTTGGACTTTTCAGCAGTCTACTTGAGAAGGGATTCAGGACCTAGAGTATAGTTAATCATGTGCCTAAACATGTGAGGACCCTGTTAGAATTTCAACCAGAGGGTAAAAAAAAATGTGACTTTGTACTTCTACTTTGTTTGATTTCTTTAAATAAGCAACCATCCAATGTATTTTACCAAAAAATCAAGATGTTTTCTCAACATCTTTGTATGTCTTAAAAAAAATCAGATGCTTCAATAATAACAACAATATTTAAACTATGTTGTTCTAATGCACAACATGCTTTTACTTTGTTCAAAATGTACATGTACTTAAAAATGCAATTTTTTCTAATTAAAAAATTCAGGAATCCTCAAGCATTAGCAGTCAACATAATTAAAAATTATTAAAATGTTAAAAATGACAACCATGTATATTTTTATAAGCTATAAAACAAATTTTACATCTTCAGTTACTGAGGGAAAAGATCTAAATATTGAATTTAAGCATTATAGTATGAACTGAAATTTTGAAAAATTCGAAAGAGCTCATCTGAGTGTCTTCCTTCAATGGTACTGTAAAGAATTTGCTTTCATATTCTCCAAGAAGACTTGATACTATGGTTGTGTCTCACAACCATTTCAGTAGGGAAACAAATTTAATTTCTCACTTGTGTCCTTTTTAT